AAAAAATAAGAACCAAGATGCATTATGTAAAGGTACAATTCCCAATGAGAAATGTAATTGTGTTGTATACCTACAATGTACCAATAAAAGAATTTAACAACAACAACAAAAAAACCCAATCACACAGGAAATACCGTAAAGAATCATCAACTGGGATCTCATCTTATTAAAAAGCTTTTGCACAGCAAAATAAATCACCAACAGAGTGAATAGACAACCCACAGCATGGGAAAAACTTTTGCCAGCTGTTCCTCAAAGGACTGCTATCTACAGTATATAAAGAACTCGAAAAAATCAGACCCCCTCCAAATTTAAAGACCCAGTCCAAAAATGGGCATCTGAAATGAACAGACACTTTTCAGATGAAGAAGTACAGATGATAAATAAATATCTGAAAAAATGTTCAGCATCACTGGTCATTTGAGAGATGCAAGTTAAAACAATGCTGAGAGTCCATCTCACTCCAGAAAGAATGTCTGTTATCAAGAAACCAACCAATAACAAATGCTGACGGGGCTGTGGGGAAAAAGGAACCCTTCTCCACTGCTGGTGGGAGTGTAGACTGGTGCAGCCACTGTGGAAATCAGTGTGAAGATTCCTCAGAAAACTAAAGGTGGTTCCATTTGACCTAGCTATTCCCCTTTTGGTATCTTCCCCAGAGAATTAAAAGCATCATTCCACAGCATTATATGCATACCCATGTTTATAGCAGCACAGTTTGTAATAGCTAAATCTTGGAAACAAACCAAATGCCCATTAACCAGTGAATGGATAAAGAAGATATGGGGGGTTTTTTATACTCTGCCCTAAAGAAGGATAAGCTTGAGATATTTCTAGCTAAATGGATGCACCTCGAGACCATACCCTTAAGTGAAATAAATTGGACACATATAGTTAAATACCACATTGTTTCTCTGGTATGATAAACTAAAAGTGGAAATAAGGACCAAAATGTAAATAGAAAGAATAGGAAATGGAAAGAAAATGTTCAAATGGGAAGAGTAACTGGGGAGAGGGGAAGGAAGGGACAAAGAACAAAAGAATAAAAGAAAAAATGGAAACAAACCTTTTGTGAATGAGGAGGGGAAGAGGGATTGAACAGAAGGAAGAGGAATGGAAATAAAAGAAGCAAGATATATCACGTACAGGTACAAATTCCCTGTGATGAATGTGATCACCATGTATATCTAAAATGTACCAATAACAAAAAAAGCCATATTTCACTTTCTTCCAGATTGCACTGTATCCAGTTGGTGAGTTTAATTGTAATGGAGCTGTTTGTTATAATCAGAAGATTGACATCTTCTGAAGAACACTTTATTGACGTGTTACTTTGCTCATTAAACTGAAAAGTGATTTCAACCTAATTTTACCATTTCTGTCCTCATCCATAACATCATACTATTAAGCCACTTACTCTAATGCCTAAAGTATTCTTGGGCTCCAATGATATAAAACAACTGTTTCTGTTTAAATCTGTTTTTTATTTTATTTCTAGTTAATTACTTTCTGTTTAATTGATAATTTGCTAGGCATTGGATCTTAGGTTTCTGGTTCCTTTTTTTTAATGGTATTTGTAGATTTTTCTAATTGTAAAATTGACACATGTTCACTATAAATAATTTGGGAATGTGGAAATGTATAATGAAGAAAATTAAAATCATTTATAATCAAGTTTTACTCATTTAAATAAAGTAGGGTAAATGATTTCAGTGAGAAAGTGAGGAAACTATTTCCCCGTACTAGAAACACAATAAATTTTTTGGAAATAAAAAAAATTAATCTAATGTCAAATAGGATAGAAGAGATTAAGTACATTTTCTTTCACATCTTTGTGGTTTTTATGTTTCTCTTAGCAGTTTTCTTGGCCTATGTTACAAAACTAATTAATATATATTCTCTGTGATTCTTCTCAGTGTTTTTCCACTTTAATTAGGAATTTGCATTTAAGCAGCTGTATGAGTAGTATCATCTTAGTGTTTCTCAGCTACTTTTAATCTATAAGTATGCTTAATTCATTTTCTCTCCTGTGATTATTTAAGAATTTTCGTTCCTTTTCTGTTTTAATTTGCCTTATATAATGCTAATTGCTACATATTTTATTTTCCCAGGCTCTCAGTGTTTTTGCTATCAGCTTTCCAATGTAGGTAATGATTATAATGGTTTTAGTAAGTGAAGGATTTTTCCTCCTTTGTAGCCACCCCTGAATGCTCAGATGTTGGCGCAGCGTCAGCGGGAGTTGTACAGTCAGCAGCACCGACAGAGGCAGCTAATACAGCAGCAACGAGCCATGCTCATGAGGCAGCAAAGCTTTGGGAATAACCTCCCTCCCTCATCTGGACTGCCAGTTCAAATGGGGAACCCCCGTCTTCCTCAGGGTGCTCCACAGCAATTCCCCTACCCACCAAACTATGGTACAAATCCAGGAACTCCACCTGCTTCTACCAGCCCCTTTTCACAACTGGCAGCAAATCCTGAAGCATCTTTGGCCACCCGCAACAGCATGGTGAGCAGAGGCATGGCAGGAAACATGGGAGGACAGTTTGGCACTGCAATCAATCCTCAGATGCAGCAGAATGTCTTCCAGTATCCAGGGTCAGGTAGGAGGGGCTGCTTTTCTTAAGTAATACTCCCAAGGCCTGCACAGCGCTCACCTCAGGCACATTCCACTCCTGGGAGTGAGTGCTGGAGTCTGGAGGTCCCAGCCCTAGATTGAACCTTCCACTGAATGGTTGAATAGTTTGAGGCTTCTCTCTCTTCCATAGCTGACATGATTAAATTGGAGGACTTATACAGGCTTGTCTGTGTCCCACTTGAAATGTTGTAACATTTTGTATGCAAAATGCATTCTCTTTATTTTTTTACTTTCTCTTACAGATCCCAGTGAGACCTAATTAAAGTCATCTGCAGACAATGAGTTTTAGAACATTAATTCAAAATTTGCATAGTTTTTCTCCTTGTGTGATTTTCTGATAGTTTACCTAAGGATTGTCAGTTTCTACTAAGTCTCAGACTTTTCATCGGTGTCACCACTTAGACTGCTTAGGTGATAGCTTCCTCTGCAGTGAACATTCTGGTTTCCAGAAGTTTTTCTTTTTCAATTTTTTGTTCTTCTCTTGGACCTGGATTTTTAAATTTCCTTTCTATCATGTTGAGGTTCCAGTAAATAGTGACAATTATAAATATTTGTTTAATCAGACTTTTATACAAAGTTAATGGCAACTTGCTGAAAAAAAAATGAAAATAAGCCTCTTAATTATATATAAAAAAAGAAAAAAGGAAACTAAAACCAATTAAAAATGAATCTCAGTGAGAGGTGCTGCTGCTTGACTTGCCCATACAGTCCACCCATCCATTGTAAGTATTCCATCTGGTGCCTAAATTGTTCTTCCAGACCAACTTTTTTATTGACAAAAAATATTTTTCACAAAATAAGAATTTTTCTTTGATAAAGTAAGCATTCATACTATGGACAAAACCTAGAAAGTAAGTACAGTAAAAAGTAGTAGTTTCGTCTATTGCTAAACAGAAATAAAATAGCAGGGCTATCAGTTCTTCCATATACTGTTTCAAAATAATACTGGAAAAAATTGTTAGTTTTTCTGGACAGAATAATAACATTTTAAAGTGCAGTGTTTTTAACTTCTATTCTAAATTATAAATTTGCTCTAATATGACCAAGATTCTGATTAGAGAGCTTCAGGACCAGGTTTTGAGCTGGTACTAATTCAAATTCCAAAAAGTTGTAGCCTTTTCAGGTCACTCCTTCTGAAACACACACACGCACATGCACACGGATTTATTATAGTTTAAGGAAATCCAGATGTGAGGGTTCTTTGGTCCTTGTTAGTTTTATGCTTCTATTGCCAGTAAATTTGCCACACAAAAGTTCTAAAACATGTATGTCCTAACATGTTTCAGTGCTTGGTAAGCTTAGATCCCTAAGTCTAATTCACCTCCACTGTTTCTGTAAATAAAGCTTTATTGGAACACAGCCATGCTCATTAGTTTATGATGTTCACGTGCTTACTAGTTTATCTGTGGCTGGCTTCACACTACAGAGTAGTTGTTACAGAAACCTTATGGCAAACCCAAACTATTTAATATCTGGCCCTTAGTAGAAACATTTGTTGATCCCTATGTTAATAACAGTTAAACCAAAGACGGCTACATTAGCTTTGCTTTGCATTTTTCAACTTACCTAGGCCCAAATTAAATGAAGGGACATTTAGGTAATAGGGATGGCAGAGTATGTGTTCTTGTATTTTTGAAAACAGAAAATGTTTCTAGACGATCATGCCATGATGAATGCAAAAGAACAGAACATTAAAATTCCTTGATACAAAGATAATATTTAAAATTAACATGAGGAAATTTTTTTAATATTATAGCCACTTCGTGGGTCCCTTGAAGCCCATCTAGTGACCCCTCTTACGTGAACTGCAATAAACACACTACTCTGAGCATTCTTCTGAGTGATCTACTTCTGGGGCTCCAGGACCTCTACTTGCCAACGGCTCCATTCTCTACTCCTGAGCCAGATTGTGTGCTCATGTGTGCAGCTGTATGATCAGACATGCTTGCATTTCCCACCAGCACACCAAAGTTGTTCACAGCTAGATCCATCACTTATATTTCCCCCTTCCCTCCATATCTCAGTGTTCTAGCCACAGCAGACTTCCTGAGTTCTAAGAAAGGACATAAACCTTGCTCTCTTTTACTTCTAGGCCTTTAGACTTCCTGTACCTACTGTGTAAAATATTTTTCCTCTCCTTCCTCATTCTTGTTCCTTCCTTCTCTCAAATCTATTTCCTCTGGAAATCCTTCCCTGATATCCCAACCATAAGCACTCACTAGCTATATAATCACTTGCTAACCTAGCTATCTTTCTTTTTAAATAGCTTGAATAAAGTGTGATCATTTTAACCTGTTCTTTGTTTCTCCAGTGCTTAGCACAGTAATTTGTCAATGAGTAGAAGTTATTTGAAGAACTAAATTGATTAAGTATGAATTCTAATTCTGTTTGCTGCTATCAAATGGCTTTGATATTCATTATTCTCCAGCAGGGAGAATTAACAGTGTAGACAAAGAACTGTACTAAAAGGGACTGGGGGCCGGGGATTTAGCTCAGTGGTTTTGCCGCCTGCTATGCAAGCGCAAAGACCTGAGTTCAATCCCTGGTACCAAAAAAAAAAAAAGCTCTGAAAGGGCCGGGGATTTAGCTCAGTGGTTCCACCACCTGCCTAGTAAGCGGAAGGACCTGAGTTTGATCCCCAGTACCAAAAAAAAATAAAAGGGACTGGATGGGCCGGGGATTTAGCTCAGTGGTTCTGCCGCCTGCCTCTCAAGTGGAAGGACCCGAGTTCAATCCTTGGTACCAAAAAAAAAAAAAAAAAAAAGACTGGATTTCAATTTGTGATTTAAAAATATAGTTAATGTTTGAATTTTTAAAATATATTGCAGTAAAAAATACATTGCCCCCTAGGGCCAGAGATTTAGCTCAGTGGTTCTGCTGCCTGGCCCGCAAGTGCAAGGACCCGAGTTCGATCCCTGGTACCAAAAAAAAAAAAACATTGCTCCCAATCTCCCTCAGATCACCACCCCCAGCTTCAAACACACTTATCCCACTGTTCTTGCCACTTTCTGAAGCACTCTTCTTTCATGAGAGTCTTTAGTTACATTGTATGCTGCCTCAATATCCTGAGTTAATTCAAAATGTTTACCTTTCATAGTCATTTTGATTTTGGGAAAAGACAGAAGTTGCATGATGCCAGATTCCATGAATGCGGTGGATGAGGATGCACCTTAGTGTCCTACAAGCCCACCTTCCTGTTGGATGGCCTTGATGGCAGCAGTCACCAGATTTTTGATCACACCTTGTAAAGACACTCATGAAAGGACTTCCAGAACTGCTTTAGAAAGCACCAAGAATGATGGAATAGAAGTATCTGAATCAAAAGAAAGCATTTTGAGGGGGATTAATGGCATCGTGTCTTTTTACTAAAATATTTTTTTAAACTTTTACTGCCTATTTCAGTCACACCTCAAATCTGGGTGGAGGAATCCAAGGTTCAGGGTAGAGGCAGAACTGAGACCTGAACTCTGATTTTCCCTATAATTAATTATCCACAGGCTGCCTCTGTACTAAAACTAGTCATCTCACAGAGGATTTTTAGAGCAGTGACACTACCTCTATATGATACTGTAATGGAGAATACATGTCACACATTTGTTCAAACCTGTAGAATGCACAACCCTAAGTGAACCCTGCTGTAAACTCTGGAATCTGAATGATAATGGGCTATCAGTGTAGGTTCATCTTATGACAGTATCTCACTCTGGTGGGAGATAGTGATGAGAGAAGCTCTACGTGCGAGAAGAAGGGGACATAGGAGATCTCTGTGCCTCCACTCACTTTACTTGGAACTTTTACTGCTCTTAAAAATTGTAAAATTAGGGCCGGGGATGTAGCTCAGAGGTTCTGCCGCCTGCCCCGCACGCGCAAGGTCCCAAGTTCAATCCCCGGTACCAAAAAAATTAAATTAAACTAAATCAAAGTACCAATACTAGAGAATAAAACCAACCAAAACCCAGGTTATCTAATAAGGAAAACTGTCCATTCTAACATAGTGAGATGAGATGAGGCCAGGAAGAAATACTATCTTAAAAGCATGTTGTATACTTGGAGTTTTTATTCACTGATTAACTTGGACTCCACAGAATGATATCTGGAATATGGTAATTATTTTTTCTCCCTTCCCTCCATATTTATTCTCGAAGAAATTATTTTATCATAAATAAGGTTTCAAACACATTAAATACAAATATTTTTCAGGACCCCAACTAAAATAGTTAAAATTTAAAATGTAGAATAAATGCAAAGGTAGTCTACAATATGTGTATGTTGTGATATTTTTGGTACCGGGGATCGAACTGGGGACCTTGCGCTTGCGAGGCAGGTGCCGAAACCACTGAGCTAAATCCCCGGCCCAGTAGTCTACAATATGAAGATGATGTCAAAAAACCAAAAAAAAAAAAAAAAAAACCCTGAAGAATCATAAATGAAAGAAAAAAATTTTTTTGTTTTTCTTTCTTTTCTTTTTGGACAGGGCCTTGCTTTATAGGTCAGGCTGGCCTTGAACTCTCAGAGATCCTCTTGCCTCAGCCACCAGCGTGCTAGGAGTACAGGCATGTGCCACCACACCCAGCTGTTTTTTGTTTTTTTGAGACAGACTCTCACTGGGTAGTCCAGCATTTCTTTCAACTTGCTATGTAGCCCAGGCTGGCCTTGAACTTGCAGTTCTTCTGCTTCAGCTTCCCAAGTGCTGAGATTATAGGCATGCACAACCACACCCAGCTCTCCACATAGTCTAAGTCAAAATTATTATCAGAGATTAAATTACATATACAGGAAGAAACAAGGAAAAAATACCTAGTTTTTGTTATATCATCTTTACTTTTTTTTTTTTTTGTACCAGGGATCGAACTCAGTACCTTGCACTTGCAAGGCAAGTGCCAGAACCACTGAGCTAAATCCCCAGCCCACATCATCTTTACTTTAAGAAGTAGTTAAACATTTAGTGAAAAAAAGTTATATAAAATCTGCATGAATCACAACATTCACAGAAAATTTAAAATACTTTAGAAATTATAGCCCATTAAAAAATTTAAATGGGCCAGGGATTTAGCTCAGTGGTTTCACCGGCTGCTGCACAAGCGCAAGGACCTGAGTTCGATCCCCAGTACTAAAAAAAAAAAATTGAAATGACTAAATTAGCTATCATCTGGCCAGAATAACCAAATAAAAAGAGAGAAAAATCATTATATTAGCAATAACAGGGCACAGTAGACAATAATATGGGTTGCAGTTGCGTTTACAAAAACAGAACAGGAGCTTGGTATAATGGCACATGGCTCTAATCCCAGCACTTAGGAGGCTGAGGCGGGAGGATTCCTGTGAGTTCAAGGCCAGCCTGGACTACATAGCAAGACCCTATCTCAAAAAAACAAAACAAACAACAACAACAAAAACCAAGATGATAAGAACATAGAAAAATGCTTATGATAGGGAAAGAAACAAGTCAAAATTGTGCATAAGTTTTTGAGGAAAATTTGGAAGAATTATACTAACCCGCAATCATATTATAGCATTCTTTTTTTCTGTACCTATATAACTTTTTCTTCCTTAAAAGTATTTAACTACAAAATGCACTTCGTTGCAGAAAAAAGAAAAAGAATAGCCTTAGCATAATAAAAACATAAGAGGAACCATTTTTTAAAAATTTAATAAGCATTGTTAAATGTAGGAGCATTTACCAGATTTCAGTCATAATGCAAAACTTAAATAATTGACTATTATGTTCTTAAAGAGGTTACATTGCCAGAAAGCTAAGAATATAATGTAGTTCTTTATTATGTATGCCAGCTTTAACAAAATATTTTTTTAATTTTTATTTTTTCTTTGTACCTTCCCTTTTGCAAAAGATCCTTTACCCCATTTCCTATTATCTTTTATTTTGCTCTTAATTTATATTTTGGGCTTCTCATATAAGAGAAACCATGCATTATTTAAGCTTATGAGTCTGATTTATTTCATTTAACATTATGGTCTGAAGGTGCATCCATTTGTCTACAGATATCCTTCTTTATAGCAGAGTAGTAATCCACTTTTTCTTTATCCATTTATCTGATGATAGACATACAAGCCACTTCCAAGACTTAGCTATTATGAATTGTGCTGCTATAAACATGGGAAAGCATGTATCACTGTAATATGATGTCTTTAACTCTCTCAGGAAAATACCTAGAAGGGGAATATCTGGGTCAAATGGAATTTTTAGTTTTAATTCTTTGAGGAATCTCCATACTGATTTCCATAGTTGCTGTATGGTACCATTTTATATTCCCACCAGCAGTGTAGTTCTGGAGATTGCTGAGGTTTGCTGCAGAAGAGAATCCACAGAGCCAGGCGCTTTCCCTGGGCTGTGGTATGGAGTTGGGAGGCCAGAAAGGCAGAGAAAACTGAGGCATCTCGCTTTAGTAGTGGAGCTAAAAAGCCCTAACCTAACCCCTGCTCTTATCTCATCAACCACAGCCCAGACAGAGGTCAGAAATATTTACAGGAAGAATAACTAGCTCCTAACAAGGAAAAATTTACCAAGTCTGAAATCTGACTTCAAAAACAACCAGGCATACAGAGAAGCAGGAAAATGTAACCTGTAAAGAGGAAGCAAATTAGTCAATCAAAAGCCAGCCTAGAATGATACAATTAGTAGATAGGAACTTTAAAGAACTTATAAGCTATAAATTTATTCTGTGTGTTCCAGAAGCTAGAAGAAAGCTTTAGCATAAGTAGAAATGTAGAAAATACCAATAAGCTGGGCTGGGTGGCCCATGCCTGTAATCCCAGCATGGAGGAGGCTGAGGCAGGAGGATTGCCATGAGTCCAAGACCAGCCTGGGCTACATAGGGAGTTGAAGGCCAGTCTGAAATACATGGTGAGATCCTATCTCAAATAAAACCAAACAATAAAATATCAATAAAACAACAACAAAAAATACAATAATGAGTTCAATCCCTGATACAAAAAGAAAAATCAAAATCACTCTTCTAAAGAAAACCCTAGTGTCTGAGGTGAAAAACATGCTATATGAAATAAACAGCAGAATAAAACTTACAGAAGAAAAAGTTAATTGGAAGAAATATAGCAATGAAAACCATCCAGAATTAATTCAGAGAGAAATAAAACTGAAAAACTGACATTCTCTCCAAATTGATCCTGTAATTCGATATGATCCCCATCAAAATTTCAGCATACTTTTTGAGGAAAGTGATGAGCTTATCCTAAAATGGAGCTGGGCATGGTAGCACATGTCTGTAATCCCAGCCCTCAGGGAGGCTGAGGCATGAGAATTGGTGTGACCAGCCTGGAATATATAGTGAATTCAGGGGCAGTGTGAACTACACAGTGAGATCCCGTCTCCAAAAATAATAATAATAATTAATTTAATGTATATGGAAGTGCAAAGGACCTAGAATAGCCTAAACGATTTTGCAAAAGAAGAACAAAGTTGGATAGCTGTCTAATTTGTAAAATAATCCTGTTCACTCAGGAGGCTAAAGCAGGAGGATTGATAAGAGTTTGAAGCCAGATTGGCTACATAGTGGTTCAAGGCCAGCCTGGACTACATAGGGTCTCAAATAAACATTGTTAAAATTTTTTAATTAAAAAATTTTGAATCACTCTGCAGTGCAGTGGATGAATTTCATGCTATGTAGCTAATGTTTCAGTAAAGCTTTTTTTAAAAAAAGGGGAAAGGAAGAAAAACCCACAGAGAAGACTGAGGAAGTATGGACAGCAAAACTTCCTATTTTTTATTCTCACATATATATTTTTCTTCCCTAATTATTTCCATTATCAAGTTACTTTTATTGCCAAAATAATCAGCATGTGTGCTCATGTTTTCACACTTAAAAATGAGTGTTGACAAAGTGACTGCCAGACGGCCTCTAACTTCACCCTAATCCATCTGGCTGCTAAATGGCACACACCCCGGCACCTGGCTGTTGGCTATTGTGGTGAAACTGAAAGAACCATAAAAGGATTGAAAAGAGGTGACACCCAAGTTCCCAGAAAAATCTCTGCCCATTCCCAGAAAAGATAGTGTTTCTCCCCTTTATTAACCTATCTCTGCCCCTCATTTCTTTTATCCTGTACCTATAATCTCCATACCCCAACAGGTCAAGAAGGTGGTTTTTGAGTTTATCTCCTACTTTCTCCTCTTGGTGTTCGCTGCACCCACAAAACAAAAAACAGAAAAAAAAAAAATCATATAGTCCTGCTAAGCAAATCAGTATCTCAGTGAATGGAAAGCATTCTTCCAAACATGTATGTTTATCTGTCTGTTTAAAAATATCCTGGCTTAGTTTAAGAAACTTATTTTTCCCTAGTTTATTGAAGATATTTCTAAATATGTTATGATAGATCTTTTGAGTTTATTCTTAAATGGGGGTTAATATTCTACAGTGTATTGACATAAATTAATTTGTGTCGATTTTCAGGAATGGTTCCCCAAAGTGAGGCCAACTTTGCACCATCTCTAAGCCCGGGAAGCTCCATGGTCCCAATGCCAATCCCTCCTCCTCAGAGCTCTCTGCTGCAGCAAACTCCGCCGTCCTCCGGGTACCAGTCACCAGACATGAAGGCCTGGCAGCAAGGAGCAATGGGAAGCAACAAGTAAGGGGCGGTGTTCTGTATATGTCCATTCCTAACACCCTGCAGCATAGGAGTCTAAACAGATGATGGAAGGGCCTCAACTTTATGTCATCAACAAAGCAAAATAATAATTTTTAAATGTTTGAAGTATCAAGTCATTAAGGCAGATTTGTGTATTTATAGTACAGAAAAGTGGCCAAGTGGTCCACAGTCTTTTCATCCTACCTCTCAGTGCACCTAAAGAATATGATTAACTTCCATCAGAAGCAGAGCTTTCCTGGGACATGTGTAGAAAGGGATAATTTTTTTTAAAGTCTCTGTTTATGATTTGGACACTCTAATTTAAGATCTTCTTGCCTCAGCATGGGCAACTTACTGATACCTTGTCTAAAATTAAAAGGGGTGTGGATGTAGTTTAGTGATAGAGTGCTTGCCTAGGGGCAAGTGCAAGGCCCTAGATTCAATCCCCAGTACCACCAAAAAAAAGTCTTTATAAGAACATTGTAAAGGGCCGGGGATTTAGCTCAGTGGTTCTGTCGGCTGCCTCACAAGCGCAAGGACCCGAGTTCGATCCCTGGTAGCAAAAAAAAAAAACATTGTAAAATCTTACAAATGTAAACCAAGGCTATTAAAATGTTAGACTTCAATAGACCCTGAGTAGTGGGGACATAGTGTGTTTAAAAGGTTTTATAGTAGCAACAAAAAAATGTTAAGACTTCTTGGGTTATTCTGCCCCATTTTGAAAATTTAGATTTTCATGTGGCCTCATCTTACCCATTTTGCTTAGAATTATTGCACTAAAGTCTTTTTTTTCCAGATCCTGGCTGCTGAACTTTTTACACATCACTTGAGTTTTATAAGGATTTTAATTTGGTTGTGTCTTGGTTCTAATGACAGGGAAACCATTTAATCTGACAACATAATAAGTAAGTCAGCTAAAATTGAAAACATAAAGCCATATTCTCTTAAAGTTCATTGAAAGGTGAGAGGGGAAGTCTTTTTGTTAGAGAACTGCATGGCACTTAGTGAGGATGGTATGTAAATTAGATAGGAATGGAATAGTCTGTAACATACAAGAAGAATTCAGTCTCTTAACGTGTTCTTATCCCACCTGCTAAACTCGCTTTTGATGTCCGTAATTGATTTCTCCCTCACAGCAGCTCTGAACTTCCTTGCCAGCTTTCCCTCTGCTGCTTTCATGTCTGGAAAAACTCCCTAATGAAATCCAGCTGAACCTTGCTCCCTTCCTCCACCTAAGCACTCCGGTATGACTCTGAGGGCTGGAGGTGCACCTCACCAGTAGAGTGCTTGCCCAGCATGCACAGGGCTCTGAGTCAAATTCCCCAGCTCCATAAAAAAGAAAAGAAAAGAAAGGCTTTAAAAAACACAGTGTTGCCTGCAGGTCTCACTAACCTCTGTCTCTGCACCCCTCTGCAGTTCCTGTCAAGGTGGTTAATGTCCTCTTCAGTGCCAGTGCAGTGTTTGTCAGTAGCATCTAACATATTTGAGCACTTAGGTCTTTTTTATTTCTTAATTTTTTTGTGGTGATAGGAATCGAACCAGGCCCTCGCACATACCATGCAGGTCCTCTGCCACTGAGCTGCCCCCCTCCCCCATTTATCTTTGTGGGGGTGGGGATTGAACCCAAGCCCTTCACACTGAATTACAGACCTTTTTTATTTTTTATTCTGAGACAGGGTCTCACTAAATTGCTAAGTTGCCTAGGCTGGGCTTGAACTTGAAATCCTCCTGCCTCAGCCTCTCAGAGTGGGATTATAGGTGTGCACTACTTTACTCATTTATCATTTCTTGAAGGTCTTTCTTCACTTAGTTTCTGAGACACCTTTCTCTCTGGAAAGTTCACCGTACCTCTCAGTCTCTTGCTGGAGACTACCATTTGCTGGGGACATTTTCTTGATCCTGCAGTGTCCATTCTAGGACCTCTTTCCCATATCACCTCATTCCCGTGGTCACATGATCCAGTCTTACTCTGTAAATGTCTGTCTCTATGCTTATTACCCCCAAACTTAAATCTGCAGCCCACATAAATCCCCAGATACCATACTGTATGTCCAGCTACCTAATTGATGTCTCCACTGAGAAGTTTAAAGAACTCTCAAATCTATCACAACAAAAACTCTCCCTAAAACTTGCTCCTCTTATTTTTCCCCATCTCCATGACAACTCCATTCTTTTAATTGCTCAAAAGAAAAACGTTTTCTCTTTCTCTCACATCTCACATCAAACACAGTATGAAATCATGTCACCTTCTTAGCATCGCCCCCTTCTTACCCATTGTACTTAACACACTGTAACGCAAGCCACCGTCCGTCACCCTTTTCCTGTCTCCCTGCTGTCACCCTTCCTCCACCGTGGTCTGTCTCCGCATGTAGCCTGAATCGTGCTGAAAACAAGGCAGTATGTCAGCCCTGCACTCACAACTCCAGTAGTCCTCCAACTTACTCACCACACAAAATAGGGCTATAAATCCCTAAGACATCTTGCTCCTGGATGTGTTTCTGACCTCATCTGCTGTTCTCACCACTCATTCAGCCGCACGGGCTTCTGTTTATTCTTCTGTTCTTCAGATGTGCCAAGTCCACTGCAAACTCAGCACCTTTGCATTCTTCGGTCCCTCTGCCGGAAGGTTCTTCCCTTAGAGGCTGCCCAGTTTGTTGGCTCACACTTCAAGTCTCACCTTAAATTTCACCTTCTTTGACACAGACGTTAAATGTCACCTTAATCATACTTCGCGCACCATCATTTCTGAAACAATACCATTTTTCTCCTTCCCATTCTTTATGTTTCCCTACTCCCAGGTCACTTCTTGGACTCAGATTCAAATGTGAACGAGAGCTTTTGTTGTATTTCAGTAGTTTCTGTGAACTTTGACTTTCCCAAGTGATTTGGGGGAAAAAATAATTGCCACCAACTCTTCAGAATTCATGCTTGCATATTTGGTTCATGTGTAGATTAGTCAACATAAACATTACATACTAACAGAGACAGTGACTCTGTTATCAGATGACATGATACCACAAAAAACATGAGAAAACAGCTCCTGCTGCAAATAACCTGTGTAGTGGGTGGCAGAGGAGGTCAGAGAGAAGGAAAACATGAGCTAATCAGACGAGCAGTAAGTAGACTGGTGTAAGGTTTGGAGATGGTATCATGTGATTCTTTTCCATGATCTGTCTGGTGGCAAGGGAAAGAAATGGCGACCAAACCGATGTGTCCCAGAACCGGGCTGTGTTCCACATAACACTCAGCTGGAGGGAGAGTCCTGACGCTTATTAGCTTTTAAAGGCCAAGAAGTCCTGTTGCTTACCCATTTGCTTTTCAGACTTACTTGACCAGGGACCCCTCCCTCCTTGTTACTGCCTGTAATGTCTGTGGAACCTGCTCTAGGCCAGAGTCTTCGTCTTTCTCCCTCCTCCTCATGTTTAGGGGTTACCAATTACCTGGTACTACCCTGAGAAAACTGATCACTTCCTCAAGGCAGACAAGAGTGCAGAGTGAGGGAGAGACCCTGTGGACCCTGAGCTGGAGTTTCCACTAACCCCCGCTGTCCTTCCCACTGAGCGACTCAGGCTACTGAAGGGCTTGGTCCTCTTCCCCCGATGGAAGAAACGAAAATGGAACTGTTGACAGAACAGTTTGAAAGAACCTTAGCTAATATATAGTCCCAAATATAAACTTGAAAGGAAATGAAGCCCTAAACCTTTATCAACAGCTAAGACGTCTCTCCAGTCCTCCCATGAATTAACTTGCACAGCCTTTCTCTTCATGGTGATCGTTTAGGTATCAGTTGACAGATGAGCATTATCTACGGCACAAGCATTCTCATTAGCAAATGAGCGCGTTAATAGGTCTTTCTTACCATTGGTTGTGGGACCACTGCCCCACAGCACACATATTGTGCAGACATCAGTGGATGGTCCACCGATGCCTTCTTGGCCACTCCAAAGCATATGATTTCCTGTGAGCATTTGTTTTGTAATTACTTGGGGAAATTTTTGCAACTTTTCTTCAGACATGATAAATACACTGCTTCTTGGCCTGTTAATTTTAGTCTGATTACCTTAATTTACTGGCAGCTGTAAGTGTCAGTACATCCTGCTTACCATGTGGGAACTAACAAGGAATAAACAAGCCATGATGGCAAAAATCGTTTTTGGAATCAAAATCTCCAGAATTAACAATTGATTTATAATCATAGAATAGGTGGTGTTTCATAGATCTTATGAAAGATAAAATTCATATCATTTTCCTTTAGATGTATATATTTGTATCCTGAGAATTTTCAGGGTTCAAATCCAAAGTTGCAAGTTGAATTACTTTGAATCTTTTCCATACTATTCTACCTACTAATACATACTGATTTAAAATTTGAGGCTGGGTGTGTGGTGCATGTCTGTAATCCCAGCACTTGGGAGGCTGAGGCAGGAGAATTGCCTTGGCTATGACAATTCAAGGCCAGCCTAAGTACATACGGAGTTAAGGCCAGCCTGAACTAAATAGTGAGACCATCTCAATCCCCCCCGCCACACACACACACACAAAATTGACACCTTTGTTAGAACAACCGTTCAGAACTTGGCCATGAAGAAGGAGTCAGTAAAACAGACCCACTGAAAATCATAATTGCCCTTGTATTTTGCTTCCTGGAAAAGACATGAGGCTATCTGTCTTTGGGTCTAAGGAGATAATCGTAACTTTCAGATTTAAACCCATTGGGCAGAGTTCAAAATGTATCTGAATTATATTCAGTCCTGATACAGGAAGATACAGTTTTGCATGTCACTTAAGAATGTAAAATATTTTACTTGAATTCTATCAATGTAAAACAGAATCCAGTCACATTATCCATGACCGGTGGGTGTAATTGGCATTGTTTTTGAGTTAACAGTGTGTTCGGTCAAGCTGTCCAGAACCAGCCCACACCTGCACAGCCAGGAGTGTACAACAACATGAGCATCACCGTGTCCATGGCAGGTGGAAATACAAATGTTCAGAACATGAACCCAATGATGGGCCAGATGCAGATGAGCTCTTTGCAGATGCCAGGAATGAACACTGTGTGCCCTGAGCAGGTAAGTGGCATGGCTGCACGCTTACCACACACAGCGCGCGCACACCACTGTTCACAGTCCCCAGGACATGAACGTATGTTGACAATTACTCACCAGAAATAACCGTGCTCCTCTGTTCTTTTCCACTGTCTTTTGCCAATTGATGACCCTAAAGATACAATGGAAATTTTGGCAGTCTTTTTTTTTTCCCAGTACCAGGGATTGAACTCATGATCTTGTGCTTTGGAGACAGCCTTGGTGCCACTGAGCTAAATCCCCGGCCCAGCAGTCTTTAAAAATAAGATTTTAGTCTCATGAAATTTTAGGGTTTTTGATCTATTATAAAATGTTATGCACAATAGCTTGAATATTAAATTTTCTTCATTTCTCTTTTTTAATTAACAAGTATTCATTACTATCTACAAAGGTAGCTCTGTGGAACATGCAGAGTAATATGTTGAGATACCACATGAACAATGGATTGAATAAGAACAAAACAATTGTGTAAGAGGTAACCTCCCACAGGACCATGCATCTTCATGTCGAATGAGAGTTTGACATAAACAGTTGACTGCTGAGTGTTTAAAGAAAGAGACTGGTCAGGAAAAGCATCATGGAAAAGTTGCCTTCAAAAGGAGAACTGAAGGCCAGGTATGGTGGAACACACCTGTAATCCCAGCTATTTAAGAAGCTGAGGCAGAGGATCACAAGTTTGAAGCCAGCCTAGGCAACTTAGTGAGACACTGTCTCAAAATTTCAAAATAAATAAATAGGGCAGGATATAGTTAATTTCATTGTGAAGGTTCTGAGCTTCTGTCTCTGGTACCATAAGACAGAGACAGACAGACACAGAGACAGAGGAGAAAAAGAGCGAGATTTGAAAAGAACATTCAAGACTGACTCTCACAGAATAACCTAGGCAGAAATACAGGTTGAAAAGCCTAAGAAAGTTAAAGGCTGTTTATATCATATTTAGTATTTATGTCACAAGCTCTTTGGAGATGTTGCATCCCAGCTAAGCATTTAGAGTTGTCTTGGAGCCTCCTGCAGATTTGTAGGAATGACCAATTTCAAAGTAATGTTTAAGAAGATTATTGGAGTAACTTCCTATAGTTACTATTATTACGCAGACCAGCAACCAAAAAGCCGACTGTGGTGACCAGGCTATTGCTACACGGCCATAATTTATAGCAAGACTTCAAAATATATAAACACCAATTACTTTTTTGTGTAGAAATCCATTTTTATTTTTGTTTTCTTTTGGGTATAAAAGATTGAACTCAGGGTCTTCACACTGAGCTATCCCCAGACCTGTTTTGTTTTTTTGAGACAGGGTCTTGCTCCATTACCCAGGGTGGGCTTGAACTTGTGATCCTCCTGCCTCAGCCTTCCAGAGTGCTGGCATTACAGGTGTTCACCCCTGTGCCTGGCTCCTTTAATGTTTTTTTATAGTGTAGGTCTGCTGATGGTGATTCTTTTAGTTTTTGTTTGTTCTTTCTGCTAAATTCTAGGTTGGCAATTTTAGCTTTCAGGTTTATTACAGGTTTTTGTTTTGTTTTGTTTTGGGTTTTTTGAGACAGGGTCTCGTTATGTAGTTCAGGTTGTTCTTGAATTCAGTATGTAGCCCAGACTGGCCTCGAATTTTTGGCAATTCTCCTGCCTCAGCCTCCTGAGTGCTGAGATTACAGCCATGCACCACCGCTCCCAGCTCAGCTTTCAGTATTTTAAAGATCTTCTGATGCAGCATTCTGATGAGACATCTGCTGTCATTTTTTTCCATTACATTTATTGGCACATTTTAGGTATGCCTTATGATCACATTCATCATTGGAAATTTGTACCTGTACATGATATATCTAGGTTCTTGTTTTTTCCCCTTCCCTTCCTTCCCTTCCACTCTCCGGCCCTCCCTATTTACAAAAACTTTGTTTCCATTTTTTTCCTCCTTTTCTCATACTTTTCCCTTCCCTTCTTTCCTTTCCCCACCGCCCCACTTCCTCTTCCCTTGACATTTATAGCTAAATGGATGCACATTGAGGCGATACTCTTAAATGAAATAAACAGGACACACATGTATAAATACCGAATAGTTTCTCTAGTGTGAGAAACTGCAAGTGTAAATGAGGACCAAAATGTATAACAGATAATGTGAAACAGGAACAAAAGGTCTCCTGTCATTTTTTACTTGTTGCTCTGTACATAGTTGACTTTTTCTCCTCTCTGGCTGATTTTATATTTTTTTCCGTATAATTTCTTTTAAGCAATTTAATGATGATATACTCTGGTGTGGTTTTCTTTGCTCTTGGAGTCCCTTAAGCTCCTTGATTCACACACTGCACTCCACGCCTCAGAGGTCCCAGTGCCATGTACCATGGGCCCTGGCAAGTTGTTCTTTGGCTTGGGGGGAGTTGGACTTTGGTTATTAGAATGGTCTTGGTACCCTCACTTATCACTTCTGCCATTTGAATCATTTGGGGGTTGAATTTAATTGATTTTCTTTTACATTATGGTTCATATTTTTCTGCTTCTTTACATATCTGGTATTTTTATTGGGTGCCAGGTGTGACTTTTACCTTATTTATATTCCTATAAGCATTCTTGAGCCTTTTTCTAGGAAATGGTTAGGTTATTTGGACACAATTTAATCCTTTCAAGTCTTGTCCATTGTTTGGTGAGACAGGCAGTATTTATTCTAGGGCTAACTTTGCCTTACTACTGAGGCAAAATCATTCTACTATGCTACCTGATACTATATGAATTATGACATTTTCCATTCACACTGTTGGGATTGAGACCTAGTCCCAGACCTGTGTGGTCTTTGAGAATTACTCCATCCATCTGTCCAAGTGACTCTTTTTCCTGCATCTGTGAGCTGATCATTGCTGGGCTATAGACTTCGAGGGCCTCTGCACATCTCCAGTGCTTCCTCTCGGAGCCTCTCTCTACAATGATATTCTGAGCTTCAGGTTCCAGCTGCAGCTTCTTAGCTCATGGAGACTGCCAGCCGGTATAGGCTGGGAGTTCGCTCCCACAGGGACTCCTCAGTTGTTTCCCAACTCTTAGGGATCACTGCCCCTTACTGCCTTTGTCCAGTTTCTTGAGTGCCTTTGTTTCACACATTTTGTCCATTTTTAAGTGAATTCAGACTAATATGATCCCTGTTACTGAATCTTGACTGAAGTAGAAGTCTTTTGTTAATTAACTTGTGGGGAGAATTCATTTTTTATTAAAATACTATATGTAAGAATATCCAGGGGCTGGGGATTTAGCTCAGTGGTTTTGCCGCCTGCTGCGCAAGCGCAAGGACCCAAGTTAGATCCCCGGTACCAAAAAAAAAAAGAATATCCACAAAGTATACAACTCAATGAATTTTCACAAAACGGAATGCACCTGAATAACCAACACCCAGATTACAAAATGATGTCACCAGCATCCCAGAAGTTCCCCTCATGTTCCCTGCACACTTGCCACCCCCGCAAGGGAAACTTGGGGATTTGCAGCAATGTAGTAAATTGCCAAGCTTTTATTTTTCCTGCCTTCCTATTACTTTCCTGCCAGTGCCATTGTTTTTCATTGAAGAATTTGTTCTTCAGCTTAAATAACTAAACAGTAATTTGGTCTTATGTTCACTTTTCATAGATAAATGACCCAGCACTGAGACACACAGGCCTCTACTGCAACCAGCTGTCATCCACCGACCTTCTCAAAACAGAGGCAGATGGAACCCAGGTCAGTAAGAAAATCCTAAGCCCGGAGCTGTCAGCTACACCCTAGATCCATGGAGGGCTTCATGTAGCCTCCTGGTCAACAGCTTGACCTTGGGGGTCAGGTCCTGTTGTGCAGCCTGGCTCTGCTCTTACCGTGTCATTGTGGGTTTATTACAGAAGTTCTGAGCTGCCGTGTGACCACAGGACTAACAAGATGTCCGCTTACAGGACTGTTGAGAGGGTTTGATGAGATAAGCTTTCAGAAGATCTAACTCAGTGCTTGAAGAGGGTAATGGATTCACAAATGTGGCCACTAATTGTTATTTTGTAAATAAACAGTGCTCAAACTCACTTTAATCCAACACCTCAAAAGATCTCAGTAAATTCAGATTAATGGTGTCTGCTGTCTACTCTGCCTCTTCAGAAGTACGTTTCTGAGCAGTGCAAACAGCAAGGTGGCCACTTTCCTCTTTTAACCTAAATTTAGAAATTTTAATAAACTTTGGTTTAGTCTTTAGTCTCTTAAAAATATTTTTTATCACAGGCATTTTGCTACAAATGGAGATAGAAATACTTACCTTTCTGGATCTTTGGGTAAACTGGGGGGAGAAGACAAGAAAGGAACTTCCACTGTGAAATGTATGATTTGCCAGGCACTGTGCTGGGCGTTGTATGCTTTATCTTCTTTCAGCCTTGCTGTAACCTATGAAGGAAGTGGTACTCCTTTTCTTCACAGATGAAGAAACAGAACGTGAGGAGGTTTAATTGCATGCACCATTCACAAAGCTAGAAAGAAGAGGGGCTGAGATTCAGGCTTGGGTCTTACTAACACCAAAGTCCTAGCTATTTCTGCCATACTACATAGGCCCTGTGGAAATATAAAACTTTTTTTTTTTTTTTGGTACTGGGGATCAAACCCAGGTCCTCAGCTTGCAAGGCAGGCGGTGGAACCACTGAGCTAAATCCCCAGCCCGGAAATATAAAACTTACAAATACATCCATATAAATTGTCACATAGCCAAAGAAGGCAAACTATCAAATTTATGTTATGAATAACAAGAGCCGTAACTATTCAAAGAAAGGAAAAAGAGGACTGAAGGTGGAGCTCAGTGAAAAGCACTTACCTAGTGTCTTCAAGGTCCTGGATTTTATCCCTCGCACTAAAAAAAAAACAAAGGAGTGCTGGGGATTTAGCTCAGTAGTGCTGAACCTGCCTCGCAAGCACAAGGTCCCGAGTTCAATTCCTGGTAATGAAAAAATAATTAAAAATAAATTTTTAAAAAACAAAGGGGGCCTGGGGATTTAGCTCAGTGGTTTCACCACCTGCCGTGCAAGCACAAGGATCCGAGTTCAATCCCCAGTACCAAAAAAAAAAAGAAAGGAAAAATTGTTGAAGTACTCAGAGCAGATTTACACAGAAAATTAACTGAACTGGGCCTTGAAGCACAGTTCTCAGACCAAGTGAAGGAGAAGGGTATGGTTGTTGGAGGCCAGGTCAGGCTGGACTAGAGAGAGAGAATAATAGTATCTTAGCATTGTCCTGGAAACCACATTCACTGAAGATACAATTGCTACAGTAGATGGAAGTGGATTTCCAGGCGGAGTATTAAACTAAGGGATCTAGACTTAGTCCTACAGACATAGTCATCCCCAAAGGGGGCGCTAGGTTAGACTTTATCTCAAGGTGGAGGCAGTGAAGGGAGACTTGCCCGGCACCTGGTTCTGGGGAGAAAGATTGGTTAGGAAACTGTGTCCAGGGTCTGAGTCTTAGGAAGTACTCACACCTTACGAGGGTAAAGAGAGGACGTTTTGTGATGGTATAATGAATACAGTCTGTCTCACACTCACAAAGTCGTGAACTAGGCAACACTACAGATCCCTTAAAGCAAAAAACAACCAGAGGCCAGGGATTTAGCTCAGTGGTGCCACCGCCTGGGTTCGATCCTTGGTACCAAACAAAACAAAAAGCAAAAATCAAAACACAACCAACTAGGACAATATTTGAAGTGAAGTAAAAACTGTGCTGGAGAATCTTCAGAGGCCGGCACTTTGTTCTCACCCTGTGCTCCTCCCCGGCAGATCTTAAAGTTCTCCCATGTCAGCCTTCGCCCATCTGTGAAGGTGTGGCAGCGCAAGTCCAAGGTCTAGTCTACAGGTGATGGTTCAGAACAGCTGAAATGCCTGGTGCGGAGGTGTGCATCTGCAGTCCCAGACCTTGGGAGACTGAGCAGGAAGATCACTTCAAGTTCGAGGCCAGCCTGGACTATGTAGTGAAACTCTGTCTCCAAATCTTTTTCTTAAAAAAGGCTGAAATAAATTTTAGAGTTTGGTTTTCTCTTCTCAGGTTTTTTAACTTCAAAAATAGACTATCTTGTATTTAAAGTAGAACTTCTTCTCTAGTTTATTTTATCATGCCTTTATCAAGAATGATTTTAAATATTTGTGGACAAAATCACCTTAGGCTCTGCCCTAATATTTCATATTTAGAAACACATAAACATGGAACTTTATACTATATTGATTTAAAAGTCAGTGCCTAGGGCTGGAGATACAGCTCAGTAGTGGAGTCTTGCCTAGGATGCATGAGGCCCTAGGTTCAATCCCTAGCACTAGAGGCTGGGGGTGCCCAAAAAGCGCTATGGTTTATGCTTATGTGAAGTTTGGGTGGCAGAATCTTCTTTGTTATAGCCCATCATGAACTCTGTTCACTCCTGTGTTTTTGTATTTGCCAAACAGAAGCAGGGGGCTGCATTAGATAGCGATATAGAGACAAATACCCAGAAAAGAAGAAGAAAAAATGGGAGAGGAGGATTGGCAGAGTATGTAGAGCCATCTGTGTTGGAAAGTGAGGGTGTAGAGCTGGGGAGGAGTCAGATGGAAAAGAAAAAGAAGAACACAGACTAGAGAAGCAGGGAGAGGGCAGGTAGGGGGTTATTGCCCTGGGCAAGAGGAAGGGCCTGGTGAATCAAGGTCCCAGAGTAAAAGAGCAGGAATGAGTGATCCTGGAGCACAGCCTGGGGAGCGCACAGAGGCGGCTGGAGCACATACTTGGAGCTGGTGTGCTTTAGAGACAGGAGAAAGAGGCCACATGAGAGGAAAACATGGGAGCAGACAGGGCCAAGGAGCAAAAGTCGGAAACTAGGCAAAGAGGAAGATGAGAAAAATGATCCCAGTCTAACTAGAGATTTAAAGCTCAACTCAGGGGCTGTCTCCCTTAGCTGTCAGGAAATAGACATGGGATATAGACGGATTAAGGATAAGAGACCATGAGCTAGATTAATACAGAAATTTGATGGTTCATATATTTGGCATTTGAGCTTGGTGTAGTGGTACAAACCTGTAATCCCGCACTTGGGAGGCTGAGGCAGGAGGATCATGGTGAGTTCGAGGCCAACTCGGGCTGCATAGTGAGTTCAAGGCCTGCCTGAACTGCATAGCGAGACTGTCTCAAAAAACAAAATAAAAAAAATATCTGACATTTGGCCAATAGGGGTTAGTAGAAAACAACTTTTGTTCTATTTAGAAGAGCTTTCAGAAAAGCTGCATGTAATTGGCATGCATTAGTGACGAATGACAAAAAAAAAATCACTAAATGTTTTATGATCCTATTAAACATGAGGCACAAGTTTGTCAAAGTTTGAGACACTTAGATGCCTTAGGAAGGCATAGTTCCGTTTGTGGTCTGGAACATTGAAAAGTGTGATAGTGGCCTTAATCAGTTCTACAAACAACTTTTTAACAAGAATTGTTGGTAAAGACTAACTTCTGGCTTTGTTTTCTCAATAGAAAATGCTAAAACTGTGCATCTTTAGACATCTTTAAGGAATACATGTAGTACTACTGAACGTAAAGGGAAAATTCACACTGTTTTCAGCTAATAGATACTGTTATTTTTAGCTCAAGTGTTTAAGCGGAATGTCTAGCTGGAAAAAAAAGTCAAATATATAATTGTTCTATTGATATTTTGTTGTAATTCTAAAGCCAGTATGTAAAGGAGTGGTGTGATAATATACTTAGATACTATCTAAAACTTCTGGACAAACATTAACCTTAGTAATGCTGATGTCCTGTTACTGAGTTGTGGTCATTTATCTTGCTAATACTGGGTTAGAGTCCTTAATTTCTCAATGACATCATAAAGACTTTTTCTCCTAACTAAAGTCATCTGTAGAATACTATTTTAAACTAGTTTTCCAAATAGCATGTTATTTTTTAAAACCTTACTCTGGATACCCAGACTGTGAAACTGGGCTTTTCCAAACCTTGGCGATTAATATTAGCTGTGACACTCAACTCTCAGTATTGATGGCAACCCTGTAGGAGGCGTGACCATTCCAATTTTGATTTTATTTTTAAAGTGTGAACTTTCCTGAGCAAAATGAGTGCAGCGATTTTCTTTTTGTAGGACAAGAAGACAGAAGAGTTCTTCTCTGTGGTGACTACAGACTAGAGGAATGCTCTAGTGAGTTTCCACTTCACGTAGTACCCACTCATAAGCCGGGGGGGCAGACCCTTCTGTCTAAACACATCTTTTATTTGTGTTCCAGCAGGTGCAACAGGTTCAGGTGTTTGCTGACGTCCAGTGTACAGTGAATCTGGTAGGCGGGGACCCTTACCTGAACCAGCCTGGTCCACTGGGATCTCAAAAGCCCACGCCAGGACCACAGACCCCCCAGGCCCAGCAGAAGAGCCTCCTTCAGCAGCTACTGACTGAATAACCACTTTTAAAGGAATGTGAAATTTAAATAGACATACAGAGATATACAAATATATTATATATTTTTCTGAGATTTTTGATATCTCATTCTGCAGCCATTCTTCAGGTCATAGCATTTGGAGCAAAAAGCAAAAACAAAAAAAAAGTTCACCTTTGTTGGGAGATTGAGAGATGTTTTTGTTTCTTTCTTTGTAAAGGCCTTGGATATTGAAAAAAATGACAAGGCAGAACAGTTGGACAATCTATTTCTTGAGAGCCAAATTTAATTATTCTTATTTTTGTAATCAGTTATTGGCTTCTTATCTGGATGAAGGCTTTTGGAGGAGAACCAAAATGACAAGTTCTAAGGGGAAGACGAAACTCCACCCTGCCAGCTCAGTCCTGACCCTGCCCAGGAAGGAGGGCCCTGTGGGGCTTTGTGTCCGTCCTCCAAAGGCCAAAGGCTGTCACGTTCCTCGAAACCCAACAGCCCTCCGGGCCCAACTCCAGGCAGCTTGTGTGTACAATCAGCCTCTTCAAGCAATTCTGTACCTGTTGGCTTCAAGAGAATATTTTGCCTCCACATATGCACCCCTTCTCCTTTTTTAAAAGATGGATTTAAACCAAGATGCCTCCAGGAAAGAGGAAAAAATGAGTATATAGACAGAGGAATCCAAAAAAATCAGTTTGGGGGAAAATGCAATAATTTTTGATGAGATGGGTAAAGGACAAAAAAGTAAGTTCTGTCAATTACTGTAGATACAATTTTCTGATTAAATCTTGGGGGGAAGGTAGCCTGCTCTTTCCGCTTTTATTGTATTAACTAACAGGTGAGGTAGCTAAAGTTATTGAAAATAAAATTAAATTTATGATCCAAGTAGCTTATTTTTCCCTTAATCTTACTGTAAATACATTTGATTTCTTGTAGAAATTGATTTTCTTCTGTTTAATTTTATGTTTTTATCATCACATTTGATTTTTCTAAATTTGTGTGTGAAATATAACATTGATTGAATTGCAGTTACATTTGGCTAGTAATGTTTCACTATTTTAGTAACTATGGCACCATGTGTGGATTTACTTTGGGCTTCATGCCAGAGTGGCACTGGCAGAAAGAGCCATTCCAGCTGAACTGCAACATACGCCCCAGTGTCTGGACTCACCCGACCAGGAGTTCACGGGCTGCTTGTACAGAGGGAAATCAGTGCTCAAGGAAAATCTGCTTTTTGTCTTAGATTGACTTTGGGAATTTGAATTTCTATCAGTGCATATATAAATTTCTCTCTCCTGCTCTGAGGCTAATTGGTACCATGTTTTCCCTTTGTATCTTGTCACCCTGCCACATCCCATCTCATCCTGGCCTCTGAGAAAGGAGCCAGTGAACTGACTTTCTAGTTCTACAAGTTCCATTGCAGGCCCAGAAAGCTGGAGAAAGGCATTGTGGAAGAAACAAAAGTAAACTCCTGCCACTCACCTTTTTCTGCATTCCTGGGCCTGTAAATGATGACAACACTGACCTTCTGCACCAGCTGCCTCTGCTTCCACAGCAGAGAAAAGGCCGTGAGAACCAATGTGGACAAGGAACATGGACTCAGACTTCAAGGAAGAAGCCATCTCCCCGGGCCCTTCTTTCTGCATCTCACCACCCTAGTTACAGATGACTCCATTGAACAGCATCTATTCAGAAACTATACCGAATAGGAAAACCGGTGGAAGGGCTCACATGGGTAGCAACTATGACAGAGAAATAGGACGCTCAGTTACAAACATTATCTCTTAGTTTTAAAAAAAAAATGCATCCCTGAATTCATTCATTTCCAGCTTGAAACCCCAGCCATATTACTCTAGTCCCTACAAAACTGCTCTAGGAGGTTATTTCCATTTTGTTTGTGATATTTAGACCTACAGACTTCAGGAAGTTCACCTTTAACTTCAGCATTCCAGATGAAGTTTCCTGACTCAGTGCTTTTGCATAAGGAACTAGAAAGAAAATTGGTAAGGAAAATTTGAGATGCTAACATCCTCCCCTGTCCCAACTGCACCTTAAAATATGCATGTCACCTTCAAGGTTTTATAATTGCACTGTTTGTTTTATGTGTGTACAGATTAAAATTATTGCTACCTTTGAGGAAAATAAAATTGCTTGCTTCTATGTAATTTCTGTCATTCCACAGGAAATTCACTTTTCCAGCTACTGAATAGAATTTGTTTAACAACCTCATGGGTTGCCTCTTCATTTACAGGGAAGAAATGAAACCTACAGTCTTCATGAACTGTCAAAACCTAGAATGACTAACAAATTATTAAAGGATAATAAAAGAAAGGATACTTAAAGCCAGAGATCCTCAAAGTCACCCTAATATGAACAACCCAGTGAAGCATGAGATCAAAGTGAAATTGTGATAGAGGTCTTTAGGAAACGCTAAGCCGACCATCTGTCTAACGCTCTGGCTCTTGTGTGTCTGGGGCCAGGAGATCTGGTCCACCAGCACTTCAGAGCCATGAGAGTCCAGATCTCTCTTGATTCTAGTTTTTTATACAACATTTATTGATATAGATGTTCACTTTTTTTTTTTTTTTGGTGCCAGGGATCGAACTCAGGACCTTGTGCTTTCGAGGCAGGCGTGGAGCCACTGAGCTAAATCCCCAGCTCCAGATGTTGATTTTTACTTGAGGATGTTCCTTCAAAGTGATAATGCATTTTATAAAAGTCAGGCCCTGTTTCTTGTTTATGTATTTTTAAGGCAGCCAAAATTCACCAACAGTTGACTAAGTGGGGCCAGGGTAAGAGGAGTAAGCAAGTGTGATTCCAGAGGGAAGCAGGAGGCCTGTTCCTCACGTTCCCACACAAGACTCGCAGCTGTTGTCTGAAATCGTATTTATGGGACAACAACACCTTCTTTCCCACAGTTCAGATAAGATAAAAGTGATGACTTCTCTTAGATGGGCTAAACATTGATTTAAAGTATCTACTCCTGTAGAGAACAACAGTCCTGGAAAAATGAGATTGGAATAAGGAAACTTTACCTTCTTTGTGATTTTTGCCTGTTAGATTCCGTTCGCAAAGACCTTGGAAACTGTCTCTTAGGCCCTGACAAAGAAAAAAAAAGGACAACTGTCCGCTTGTTTGTACCGGTGTTGACTGGGCTTCTGAGAAGAGCACCTCCACTCGAGAACCTGAGTAGTTCAGAGCACGCTTGCCCTTGGCCATTCCTGTGCCTCTGGAGATCTTGATGATTTAATTCAGCCCATAAATTCTCTCTTCTTTTCCTTTGTTACCGGGGATCAAATTCAGGTCCTTGCGCTTGCAAGGCAGGCAGCGGAACCACTGAGCTAAATCCCTGGCCCAAGCCCATAAATTCTTTTTATTGAAGAACATTGCCAAAGGAGCATTCCTTTATCCTGAACCCTTTTAGCCTGCTACCAGAACTCATTTAACAAAATTGAGAAACACAGAACTATCTCCATTCACTCATTCAACACATTGTATTCTTCGTCAACAGCTCCAGAGAGAGGAAAGGCTGCAGACAGAAAGGGATCTTGCCCTGTGGAACTTCTCTTCACAAGGAGGGGAACAGTTATAATCAGGATTGAATTAAGTGGCACAAAGGAGCATTCTAAGTTGCTTTGTGATCACGGCTTTGTTGAGGATCAAGGCAGGTCTCCTTGTAGAAGAGGTGATGTTTGAGAGGAGGTTGCAGGATGGTGCCGAAATAGCTCAGTGAGGGTCAGAGTGAGCAGGGTTCCGGAGAACAGCTCATATGAAGGCCTGAAGACAGGAAGGAATCTCAGGGAGCTGTTTTTTAAATTGTTAACTAGTGTTCGGAGCTCTCATAAACATGTTCTTACAGTTATGTCAGCCAGTGGACTGGACGGTAATTGAAGTCAGCCTTTGGCGGCAAGAAGAATATTTACCAGGCTTTGGGATCCTCAAATGGAAACTGTACCATCTGATTGCTAAGGTGTCTTTCATAACCAGCCCTGTCCAACCAGAAGTATAGGTTTCTGTTTCTTCTACACAATAAACTGTAGCTGTTGACAAAAAGCATTCAGAGAAAAAACTTTGTTCTGCAACAGTTTCTAAAGTGTTCATTATCTCATCTAATCCACAGACTTTTCAGAGAGCTGTAAAGAGAAAACTGCCAGGTTATCACACAAACACTACTATTTCAATGAAATTGGGACATGAAGCCACATCTTCTATTCCAAACTCTGGACTCACTATCATGGACTGTGTAATTTAGAATTGGTTTGGAATCTGCACACTAATCTCATTGTGTGACCATAGGCCATGCTTTCTCATATGAGGGAACAATATAGCTTTGAAAAGAGAGACAATAAATTGAAGGCTGAGAAGCCCAACTCCTCAAAGCCTGCCGGAGGGGACTCGACCAAATGGGGTGATCTTTGGCATATGGTCATCTGGCCAGGACATTCTGTCTGCATACCTAAATGAGATGAAGAAGGCACTCCATGAAACCACTGTCATCCTTTTAGTTTCAAAGAAGTTTAGAAGATGCAGGTTCCTTGTGGGGAAGCTATGAGAATAGCTGACGGGGCCTGGCACCGTGGCACATGCTTGTAATCCCAGCTACTTGGTGGGCTTAGACAAGAAGATCCCAGGTTCAAAGCCAGCCAGGGCAAGCTAATGAGAATCTGTTTCAAAGTGTAAGGCCCTGGGTTCAAACCCCAATACTCGGGGGGCGGGGGGGGGCGGTGATACAGGATCCATAATGGTAGAGTCTGGTTTTCTTGGATCATGCTTGGAAGCACTCTTTCTTTTTTTCGGGCTCTTGTGAATGTTTCTCATAGGCTGTGGAGTTTGGCTCTGATGTAATCATTTGTGCTTGTCACAGAACACTAGCAACTTGTACAGCCTATAAAAGCAAAGCCTACAGGTATTCATAGCAAGCTGGAGACATTGGGTTGCAAAAAGAAGCTAAGCTTTCCTTCCATTCCAGGGTCCCTGAGTAAAGGGCCCAGGTGACCGTGTAATATGTCTTCCATTTTGGATGAGCCAGTGCAGTACAGACAGTGGGCAGTACAGAGATGCCTGTCTGTGCTGCTCTTTCCTACAATGGAGACTATACGTCAGTTAATTTTTTTCTTCCTTTCTGTTCTGCTAGGCAATGCACTAAGCAAATATCCATTTATGCCACTAACTCTTATGTTTGTTTAGTACTTTCACATATATCTGATCTGTAAATTGTTGAAAATGGGCTGAGGATTTAGCTCAAAAATTGTTGAAAACAGGGCCAGGGGTTTAGCTCAGTGGTTTCGCTGCCTGCTGTGCAAGCGCAAGGACCTGAGTTTGATCCCCGGTACAAAAAAAAAAATTGTTGAAAACAATTAAAGGAGGTTAGAGAAGATGAAACTGAAGCTCAGGTCCGTAGTGAGGTGGCTGGGAAGAACTGGACCCAAGATCCAGTTGTTGGGTTTTGGAATGAAACCTGCCACTGATCCTACTGCACAGTTACCCACCGCCCACCACCACGCAAGGTGCCCATCACTATTAACTGAAACCACTTTTTCTGGTCTTAGGTCTTGCAACAAAAAAGCCTCCCTCACAGCACTGCAGATGTCTAGCCCACAAGGGCTAGACATCTTCCAGGCAAAGACACCAGTTTTACAAGCTCTTCTCTCACGATGTCACCAACAGCATAATGCAAAATCACTGCTAGCCTTGCGTGATTATTTATGTCTGTCCTTTCACCCAAGCACATGGAGCAACAGGCTGCCTTTTGTAAGTCAGTGGTGAGCTGCTGACCAACATCACTTGCCATGCACAGGACTCAGTCTTTAACAGTATTTCTGCTAAGAGGCATCTCAGAGACATGTTGCATAATTTTATCTTTGAGAAATCATGAAAAAGGGAGTAATTGCTTCCAAACAACATGGCCATTTTAATAAAAATCTCCATCAAAGAGAGGCTTACCATGTTTTGCTATCCACAGTGAAATGTGAAAGCTGGAAGGTGATTTATTTTAGAAAGATAGTTGCAAAAACTGAGATACTGGGAATATTCCTTCAATTTTCCTTGAATTTGCTGACCACCAGCGCGATGGGCCAATGTTCCACTGACCACCTGCTTTGGGCCTGCTCTGAAAAAGGCATCTGAGTGCGTTTCCTATGTTGTGAGCGCTCCTGCTAAACTCACAGTCCATATATATATATATATATATATATATATATATATGCTCTTGTTTTCAAAAATTCCTCACAGACAACTGAGTATGATGCTGCAGATCCAAATATGCCAGGGGGACAGCACATTAACAGAATCTCAGTCTCTTAGAACATATCTTTGAAACATATCTTTGCTAAATCTTGGATATTAGATTTCAATTTTTCATCAAACTCAAAGCTAAAATCTTGTGTTAATAAAAACAAATGTATTAAAACTCACAGCCAGTCCAAGTGTGCGTGCATACATACATGTCTCCTTGGCAGCGCACTGACCGGCCATGTGAAAGCTCAGTGACTTGCAGATAAGTCGAGGGGCATGGCGTCATCACCTGGTGCCCCAACCCCTTTCCAAGCGTGCGCATGGCCCCTATCGATGTACACTGTTGTGTGATGTTCGGCTGCCGAGTTGCCTGGCTCATCGGCTGACAGAGAGGGTTCTGTGTGCCTACTGGCATGCTTGTCATAGATTCGCCACCACTGCTCTATACCCTCTCAGAACAAAATGGTCCAGCCACACTGACCTGGGCTTTTTTCTTACATTTATTGTTCTCACTTTCATTAACCATACAGTCTCTTCCCTCCACCTGTAATGTTTTCTTCTTCCTACTCATTCTTCAAGGTTTCAATTCAGATGCCTTTCCCAGAAGCCCTCCCTGGTTCAAATGTGGTTGAGCCCTTCTTTTACACTGCCTTGCTACAGTGTTTAGGCCTCCTGTTTGGAGAGTTTGCAGAACATTAGCATTTATCATTAATATTTCATCAAGTTCTCAGGCTTTCTATTTATGGATGATAATATGCTTCTGTTAAACTCTACACTTCTCAGAAATTACTTCCTCACTGAGAATCAGCTGACTGGGCTGACTACAGCCATAACTGAGAAATCGAAAAAGGCAGAGCAGTTGAGACACTCTTTCCAACCTTTTCTCTCAAAGTGAGTAGATAGCACACCCCACTATCTCATTTCCTACAAT